TCGGGGAAATCATTAAACGGCAAAGCAATCCCTCAAGTCCCGACATGTGGGTAACTGAGGGACTGCCTTCGGCAAGGCCATGCAAACAACAACTCCTCATCAACTTCAGAGATTACAATGGGACAACATCAAAGGGCAAGCACAAATTACTCCTTTTCCCTCAAGTACCTTTCGACAAAAGGAGTGAGGGACTCCTGATGGAGTATATGGCCCGTGAATCCCCGGCCCACAGACTCCTACTACACCAATAAAGGCCCAACCGGCCCAGGAAGCTCAACAGGCCCGAATCACATCGCCCCAAATGACAAGCAGTCCATAAATGCACGCTGGCCGAGGGCTCAAAACTCTCACAGAACGGCAACTTCAGGCAAACAAAGAAACTGGGAGAAAACGGTGAAAACAGTAGCCCTCGGCACCAGGGTGCCCTCGGCTTGAGGAGCCTTCGGCTACTGCTCTATAGCCGAAGGCACCTCACTCGACAAGATCTCCTCTCCACGCGCATCTGGATCGCCGTACCAAGTACGACGTCGCATCCAACAGCCGCATTAAATGCGGCCACATGGGAGCGCCAGTGCCACCCCGATTGATGCGACCCCTCGGCCGTCGGATGCTTGACACGTGTCCCTGTCTTGCATTTATTGCTACTATAAATAGCACCCCATTTCCCCGTTGTAAACCACGCCTTAACGCCTCAACTCAATATACTTTCTCTCTCTTACTTGCTCTGACTTCTCTCTAAGCTACTCCCCGCAGTAAACCCTCGGATAAGCTACCCCCCGGGTACACTATCCATCACGTTCACATTTTAAGGTGACACGATTATTTAAAAAGTAATTAAATAAAGTAATTCGATCATGTTTTGATAAACAGTTTTGATGAGTATATAATAATATAATAAAATATGATCATTGATGATAATTGTGATATTATAGATGTATATAATTTAATAGTTGATGATTAAATTATCATTCAAAATTGCTATTTATTTCTTACGAGTAAAATATAAATTGGAACCTTTAGTTAGGACGTCTAAAAAAAATGAAATCCTAAATGAAACTTAATGGAGTGAGTTTCATCCCTGATTACTCGAGGCCCCCCAGACCCCCCCCCCCCCCCCCCCAATGTAGAAAAAAAGAAATATATATATATATACATACATACATATATATATATATATATATATATATATATATATATATATATATATTCAATTATTTTCAAAAAAAATAATCACATAGAAATACGTTTTTTTAGCAAAACAAACTTAATTAGCTTTAATGAGATCAAAAGACAAAGCGTTCAAGATACAACTCGGTGGCAAAAACGACTAAACATGGCTAACAGACATAGAACTCATTGCTCTAGTTAGAATATGAGCGACCAAATTCGATGAGCGTCTAATAACATAGGAAAAAGAAACATTTAAAAACCCTGAGCACGTTGTAAATACTGCACATCAATTCTAAATAGAAATACTCCATCTGTTTCAAAAACAAGTTCCCCGTTGCTTTTCACACTTATTAAGAAAAAAAATTACTGAGGGTAAACTTTACTGTTGTTTGGACACTGTTTGGCACTGTTTTGCGTTGTTTGGGACTGTTTTGCACTATTTTGATGTACTCCCTCCGTTCCCATTTTATCTTCCATTTCCCATTGGCACACAATTTAAGAAAAGTAGGTATTGTGTGGTAGAGAGTTGTGCAGAGGAAAGAGAAATGTGTAAAAAATGTTGTGAACCACAAATTCTTTACCAAAAAGAGAAAGTGGAAGTTTAATTGGAACGGATGAAAAAGGAAAGTTGGAAGATATAATAGGAACGGAGGAGTAATTAATTTGCCAAATAAGGAAAGCGAAACTTAATTTGGAAACTACCCAAAAAGGAAACGGGGAACTTGTTTAAGAAAAGGAGAGAGTATTAAATAGAAAGACATACTATTCAACCCTAGTTAAATCTGCACATCAAATTTGTCGCAAAGGCTTCGCACGCAGTAAATGACTAAATTCTGCGCTTATCTCGTGGCAGCGGTTGATATGCTTTCCTCTTAGTATTATCATATCTTTAATGGCTCTGTTTTCCGTTCAATCTTTCTTCTCAGCAACATATGCTTAATTAATCGTTAGTATTATTAATAATAATAATCTTGTTGGTGCTTGTTTTAATTAGTAAAAGGTTGAATCTTTACATGTGACTTTGTATTCTAACTATATGGCGACATTTTTGTTAGCCCTCAATCTTCAGACGCTTTGCCTTATTAATGCAGCCAGGGATGGATTTAAGGGGGGCGCGGGGGGCGACAACCTCCCTTGAACTTTCAAATTTTTCTACAATATATTTAATATTTTCATAAATTTTTTATACTTTAATTAGATATACATGTGTTCGCCCCCCTTAACATTTAGTTTTCAAAATTAATATATAGTCTTACATTATATAATACTTAATTGGAGATTTGAAAGATGAAACATATAAAATAATTTACATAATTTAAGTAAATAAACAATAGAACAACTCATTGTTCAAGACTTAGAATACCTATTATATAAAAATTCATAGTTTTGAAATGTTTAATTATCTTTAATTTATTAGATAATTATTACTCGATTTGTAAAATATCAAGCAATATTATATACGAGACACAGTAGTTAAACAATTTTTCGATCATGTGAAATGAATCTAAAATTACACAATTCGTTTACTTCTTACTCTTTAAAAATAATTTATTGCATAGATAATAAATTTTAACTTATTTTATCACAACAACATCCAAGCCTTAATCCCAAAAGAATTTGGAGTCAGCTAACATGAATCGATCTATGATATCGATGCCAAACAGAGAAGATGGACAAGAAAGGGAAGAAAAAGAAGTAAGATAAGACGAATAAAATAAAGAAAAAAATATAAGATAACAATAACACAAGAATATAAGAAAGATAAAAGATAAAAAATAAAAGAGCATAAAAAAGCTAGAAGATAAAAATAACATAAGAATATAAAAAGATAAAGAAGATAAACGATAAAAGAAAAAAGAGAGGAAAGATAGAAAAGACACCAATCTAAGAATCAACGATATAATATTATTCTAAAATAATAATCTCATACTCCGTACATACTATACTTTTGTAATATTAGCAAAACTTGCAATTCAAAATTTGCAATTCAATAATATTATTCTAAAAATAATAATATCATACTACGTACATACTATCCTCATGACTCACGAACACCTTTCTTGGTAAACAAAATTTGTAATTCAAAAATCAATTCCTTTTACCGATAAGATTCATGTTGTTAAACATGACATGAGTTATCTAAAAAGCATTGGTGATTGTGCACCTTTTAAACTCTTTACCTTCAAATAATTTGATAAAATGTTATATATCCTTTGTTATTTTCAAATAATTTTCCTTTGATTTGCTATTTCTTACGCTTTAATGTATCAATACTTTTTTCTAAAGCACTTACAATTATAAAATCAAAGTTATTTGTTCATTGTCTAAAGTTAGGATGTAGAGCCCGTTTGGTGACACTAAAATTTGTTGAATTGGCTGATTCTGCTGAAATTTATGAAGTTCTGGCTGAAGTGGCTGTATTGGCTGATTCTGCTGATTCATGAAAAAATTATATTTAAAATATATGTTATTAATAAATTAAATAAAAAATTATATGAAAAATAGCTAAAATGATCCTCTACGGTAACTTCAGCCAATACAGCCAGAAAAGTAACTCTAACCTTACTTTTTCCACTTATTATAAACTCTAGCGCGCGAAATAAAAAGTTACGTGTTTGGTGGAAAAGCTGGCTGATAAGCCGAAAAAGGGTCACCAAGCGGGCTCGTAATATACTCCCTCCATCCCGTAAACAACTTCAAACTTCGTTTTCACACATATTAAGGAAATAAACATGCTGGGGGGTAAATTTTACTGTATGGACACTGTTTCGACATTGTTTGGCAATGTTTGCTACTGTTTGACACTTTTTGAATGTAGAGAATTTGCCAAATAAGGAACTAGGAAGAAGTGTGAAGTTAATTTCGGGATTGTCCGAAAAGGAAAGCGAGAAGTTGTTTCTGGGATGAAGGGAGTATTTAAATATCATCATGTATGTACTTATGAATTCTTTTTTAATAAAAATTAGCCGCAAAGCCTTTCTAAACTATCGGAAAAAAATTCGCCCTACTACACTAGCCAAAAAAAAATATCGCCCGATTACACTAGCGAAAAAAATTTCACTCACTACACTAACGAAAAAAATTTCACCCCCCTTGACTATAAATCCCGGATCCGTCCTGAATGCAGCAAAACAGAAACAGTGGTAGCCTGGTGCGAGATAACATGGAAACCTGTGATGGCAGCTACTCTTTCTCTATCCCAATAGACGTGTTAACTGAGATTCTTATCCAACTCCCTGTGAAATCGTTGATACGACTCGCCTTTGTGTGTAAATCTTGGTTTCACCTGATAAGAAGTGACCCTACGTTTTCCTTGAGACATTATCTCACAAGAACTAGACCTTCATCATCTACATTGATGGACAATGTTGATTATATTCTTGATGACCCCGTTTGTTATATGGTGACAACTCCGATACCTTTCTAAAAAATGGTGTACCGTACCTATCATTCATTTGATTGGACCACATTACTTTATCATTTTTAATTTAGATTTAAATAATTCAACTGCTACATTCTCATTGGTCCATGTGGACAAAGGTATATTGTACTCTATGGGTACCATAGAATCTACCTTTTTATATTCCGGGTCACGTTGTCAAGGGAGTTTGGAGGTGGTGTATTTACTCTTTAACTGAAAAGAGAACGATTAGCCATTTGAAGACACTTGAGTCTCATCCTACGTATCCTAGGCTTACATCTAACTTATGTCATGGTCTAACAAGATTTATTTGCTGATTCTGGATATGTTTTATTGTATTGGGTCTTTATGTATCGGGCCTTATTTGTATTGTTTTATACTTAGTATATATACCATAGGTTTACATTATTTTTAGGTCAATTAATTCATATTCAGCTTCTTTCTTCTTCCGCAGACTCTCCTTGTAATATTCATCTCTTCCGCTACTCTCTTTGATTTCTCAATTCGATCAATTCTTCAGATTCTTGTAATCAAATTGTTAATATGGTATCAGATTAGGTTCTGATCTCTATCATCTTTTCTGATTTCATTTTTTTTCTCGATTTCTATAATCGATCTTCATCATATAAAACCCTAGTTCTTCGCTCAAATTTTTGATGCGATGAGTCATTCTGCTACTTTACCCTTGCATCCTCTTGATGATCCTTCATCTCCGTACTACCTGCATCCAAGCGACCATGTCGGTCTGCGTATCATCTCTAAAATGCTTCATGGAGACAATTTCAATGCTTGGCAGAAGTTGGTTGTGATGGCTTTTTCTGTAAAAAACAAGATGGCTTTTCTGGATGGTTCCATCGAGCAGCCCGGATTGCAGTGAAATTGTTAATGGGCCTAGAATGCTGTTCTGTAACCAGGGGATTGGAGAGGTGGTGTCACTCCAACCACCGGATTGCAGTGAAATTGTTAAAGTTGGACTGAGATACGACCCAACATGTAACAACTATAAGGTAGTGACATTGTCAGCCTCCGAAAATGGTAGAACCAGTTCTTGGACAGTGGATGTGTACTCGGTCAGAGATGGATGCTGGCACACTTTACATGGCATTGGAGGATCCCTTAAACACTTTGACTCATACTCATTTGATGGTGAAGCTGTTTTGAATGCCAATGGAAGAGTTATTAATTGGCTGGGTTTCCATAAAGTTTGGACCATGATTTTGATTAGTATAATATTATGGAATTTATGAATTTTATACTTTTAACAAAGATCTTTTTCATATCATTTATATATTATAAATAGTTTTCAATAAAAATACATATTTGGTCAAAATTTTAAAGATGACAAAGTTTTTAGGGATGAAGGTAGTATTACAGTTGGCTTACCAAGTCAGTTAGCAGATGTTTAATTATCTCACGTTTGATGTTCTCTAAAATAAAAACTTTAATTTGCACCAATATTTATCTATCTATTGTGTGAAGAAAAGGCATGCCATAGGCCCATAACACTATCTCAATACATATATGCTACAAAAAAACGAGGAAACAACATACAAATCAAGCAGCTCTTTTAGCTTTCCAAGTTCTGGTGATATATGGCCAATAAGTTTGTGATTGATTAATTCCATGTTACAAACGAAAGTAGAAACAAGTACTAAAATGTAAAATATATGATTATCCCCATTCCAGTCATAATATTTTACACATTATAACATAAGCAAATCGAGTTTAGCCTTAATCACATTAAGACAAACTATGTAAAAATGCTTTTTCATTAATAGTTAAAGCATAACACATCAAGCTGCTATCTAGAATTCTTGGGATCATGCAATATTTTGAATAACACGGTAGAATTTATCAGCTTCCCACTTTCTCCCGTTGTCATGACTCATGACTCATAACTACTCCCGCGGCTAAAAATTCTTGGTTTCATCCAACTCTTGTTATATCCAAAATCAAAAAACTGCTTACCCCATACAGTTGACATGGAGGATGTTGAGTATTCTTTTCCAGCTGTTCAAAATTATTGGATGTTTTTAATTGGACCAGCATAGGACCAAAATTTGCAATGCTCGGGTCTGTTTAAGTCTAATCTGGTCTAAACTGATCGAATATGGTCTAGTGGATATTTGATCCATGTGTATTTTATAACTGACGCAATCAAGTCTGATGTGATCTATTTAAGTCTGATTGATCTGATCAGATCTAGGATTGAAATCAACAACAACAACATCCAAGCCTTAGTCTCAAAAGATATTGGGGTCGGCTAACATGAATTGATACATGATATCACCACCAAAAGGAAAAGAAAGAAAATAAAGAAAAAAGATAAACTATTATAAAAAGATAATATAAAAAGAGATGAACTGGGATTGAAATCAATCCAAGTAAAAACATTTTTCAGTCACCAAAAAACGCTTTAAAATGAGAACTGAGAAGGGAAATAATTAAACACAAATTGTTGAAAATGAAAATAGTAGAGAAATAACTGTTGGTACGACCGTACGAGAGATCCTTTAAACATTTTCCAACATGCTTTTTCGATAGGGTTTATCGCGCTAGTTAAACCTATTTTAATTTACCATTTTTTCACATTAATCACTTGTGCAATAGGAATCATTTTCTTATTCTCTGAGACATGACCAAGGAATTCATCCCTCGAATGTGTAGAATGCGGTCCTCCAAAAACATGTCTTAATGTTATATTGTTATACGGAATACGTGGTATTATTGAATATACAAGTAAATATATCAAAATCTCTAGTTTATATTAATCATTTTCTTTTATTCATCAATTAAATTTGTTCTTCACAAGAGAGTCGTTTACATGATTTAATTATAACACACAAAAATTTGACGCATTTTTTAAATCACAGTGAGGGAGGTTGGTGTATTAAACTCTTTTTTGTCTTTTGAGAAGTATGTTACTTTTCACACACAAAAAAAGTATCTTAACAAACATCAACTTTAATTGTGGGTTTAATGAATCAAACCCTCTCGTGATATACAAATTTTACACATTAACCTCTTATGATTTAAAAATTTGTCAAACTCTGTGTACTATAATTAATCATGTACATGACACTCTAGAACACTAAATTTATCAATTTCAAAATCACCGGTCTTAATGTTGTGATTAAACATGCAAGTAAAATTTGTCAAAATCTCTAAAGTATAAAATATTAATCATTTTTCTTCTATTTGACAATCACTCTATTGTTCTAATAATTGTGAGACTATGTGTTTGACGTATTTTCTAAATCACAAGAACTAATACATAAAATTATATATCACGAGAATTTAGTGTATTAAAGTCCTTTTTAACCAATCATAGGTTAAAATTATATATCCGTAATTGTTAATGACTCATTTGCATAACAAGATTTAGAGAACCCGGTCCAACGTAACCTCCATTTTTGGACAGCCATGGGTCATGCAGGTACTTATGTGTGCCCATTACCCGCACGGGTAGCTCAGTTGGTTAAGTGGTGGGAAATTTGGATCAAGGAACCAAGGTTCGAATCTCACAACGACTGTGTGGAGGTTACAGTCTCTGAAATGGGTTGGAGCTCTGGTGCGCACAGATATATGGGTCTACTGACACTTCGCTGCTGATTGAGTCGCCGTGATTTACATACTCCCAGTCTCCCACGTGTCCTGTCGGGTCGGGGTGTAGGGGGCTCCGGGGGAGATTCCACCTTTTTGGATCAAGGTACTTATGTGTGCCCCAGCTTAACCACCTTCTGCATAAAATTATGCATCCTAAAGGAAAATGCAGCAAGTAGTGTGATGTGATACTAATTTAATAAGATCCTTTAATTCAATTCCGTGTGCCTTAAGTTAAAAGTTACCCCGTCGCAATAGAGTGAAACTAATGCAACCTTCTCAAATTGGAAACTTTAATATGAAATTGATATAGAGAACTTAAAATTTTGGAATTAGTTCAACTTATTTAATTTTCATGTATTTTTTGTCCTAATTCAGTATAAAAGATCATTTTGATAATTATTTTGGAGAATAACACTATATATGGAGAGAGAGATTTTATATGTATGTACTCATAAGTTATTTATTATTCCGTATATTATATTTGATTCTTACTAATCCAATTCCCTAATTTGAAAATCTCAATGCATATTTTAATCCTGAACTCAAAAGTATGTTTATTAGTAAATTCAAATTTCACTTAAAGAGTGTGTTTTATATACACCAACATTTTGTCACATATGTAGTATTTGATTATTTGAGTATTTTATAAGGAGAATTTATTGTTGTATTCTTATTACTAAAGAAATATAAAACTCACATGAATCTTTACATTATATTCATTCTTTTGAGTCTTTTTAATAACAATATTTGTTTTCATTAAATTTAATATTCCATTTTATAAAGTTGAACTATGCATTAGAATAAATATGTACAAGTATAAAGTGAAATTATTTAAGTCGCTTTTTAAAGGAAATTACTCATTGAAATTATTTAAGTCACTTTTTCGCGTATCTATTCTCAGCACGGAATTCGATAAAGAAGCTTTGAGCTCATATGCATTGAAAGTTTATAATAATATCGGATACACATGTTATATCATTGATTAATGTGACGGTTTTCTGCACAAAATACATATCATAGAATTATATTTTTATCGTGGCTTTGTCGATCCTCAAGTTAAGCTCATTGTTCTACTGCTTTCCCCCGAATATGATGAGTGATTTTAAATCTAAACACATCAAATTTTTTAGGCCTTATATTAGTAATATACAATTACAAAATAAAAATGCATTAATTGAATTCGAACCCAAAAGTTATTTCCTCCACATTTTCTTTTCTTTACAAGTTTTTATCCCATTTTCTTTCTCACAAGCATAGGGATAGAGTGCATGGAATGAAGATTGTGGAAGTAACTCTTGAACCCGCATAGGTTGAGCTCTCAAGTTCAATCCCGACAACGGCAATATGGAAGTTTTATCTAATTATGGCTCCTTGTGCGCACCAAACACTGAACCACCTCACTTCTTTGAGAGCATACAATAATTTCTTTGAGAGCATACAATAATTCACCCCTGCACCATTCTGTCGAGGTAGGGCGGCACCTAGGGTGGACAATTCCACCTCGAAATGCGAGGGTTGAATGGGACAACTGCAGTAATAAGAGGGAGTGCCATGAAATTAATATTATGTAATAAAGAAATGAAATGCTTCATCATCACACTTTTAGATGTTAAATAACTGCTATATAATCAATCATACGCAGTCCTACATTCTCAAAATAGCCCTACTCCAACATTACACAGACTTTTCCACTCGTTCTCCTCGCTGTGCATGCAGGTGGATGGTGGCTGGCACAATGAAGAGACGGCAGTCACCACCAATGGTTAGTGGCGGCAACGGCAGTGATGAGAACACAGGCGCTGTAAAGAAGGGGCCTTGGACTCCTGAAGAAGATACGAGATTGGTAAATTACATCCAAAAGCATGGGCATGGAAGCTGGAAAGTTGTGGCTAAGCTGGCGGGGCTTAACCGCTGCGGAAAAAGCTGCCGCCTCAGGTGGACCAACTATCTCCGGCCTGACCTCAAGAGAGGCAAGTTCACCGAGGAGGAGGAACAACTCATCATCAAGCTCCATTCAGTCATTGGGAACAAGTAAATGAATTATATATTACTCCTTTTATAGTCTATGTTTAAGAATCCCCTCTCCTAGTCTACTGATCTATAGATGGTTGACTGGGACTTAGCCTAGGCTTAGACAGGTTAGGCCATTACTGCATTAGTGCATTAGGCTCTTTGGAGTCGTTGACCGCTTTGACTTTTTCTCATATGAACTCTCAATCTCTCATAATAATGCCTGGTGCCTAATTGCTAGGCCACAACTATTTAGACATTCCTACATCACTGGTTTCCATTATATTTTGGAGTTGTCATTTTATCGTTTATCCCATGAGATAAGTGACTAGAAAGGACCAACAGATGGGAAAAAATCCATATTTGTGCATAGGAAATGGAGAAAATCATGAGACAGAAGAACCTAATATTCATGGAAACCGAAGTAATAAAAAATACAATCAATCCGTAAAAGCAACAAGTACCTGTTCATTTAGTCTAAAAATTGTCTGAATAGCTCTGTTCTGATTTATGTATGTGTATTAATGTATTTTATTGTTAGTTAGTCCCAGTCTGGATTGGTCTTATGACTCTTATCTTATTATACTAGTGGTCTAAATATTAACAAAACCACCTTTGACATATGCAGGTGGTCTGCCATTGCAACAAGGCTTCCGGGGAGAACAGATAATGAGATCAAGAATCACTGGAACACTCACCTTCGAAAACGATTGCTGCAAATGGGTATTGACCCTACAACACACAGGCCAGTAACAGATTTCAACCTCATCAACGTCCTTGCAAATCTAACCCAGCTCCTTGCTGTTGTTGCCAACTCTGGAAATAACAGCAACTTAACAATCAATCCTGATTGGGACAGTATTAATGCTCTCAGACTGTGTTCAGATGCTGCCCAAATAGTAAACCAACATAACCTCATGACACTTCTTCAATCACAACTGCAGAGTAACACCATTAACAATACCGCAGCAAATGAAGCTCAAAACCAAATACCTGGGCCCGCAGCTCAAATTGGTGGTATGAATCAGATTCTAGACCATCTTGCCTTACTCTACCCATCCATGCAAGAGGTCCAAATCCCACATCTTAGTTTCGCCACGAATGAGACTAATCAAGGGAATAGCGTAATGGACGTGTCTTCTTCTGCTTCATCTTCTGTAAAAATTCGAAGTAGTGAGGATATTCCTAATAATCCAATATTTCCCACATTAAATTCTGCATCAACTTTGCCTGAGCATACAAGCAGTAGCATTGATTGGCCAACTGACAAAGAAAGGTGTGCTATTCCGGGCTTCCCCAACCATGTGACTGCAACAACTTTTGAAGCTTGGAGAGACATTAAAATGGCTGATGATGACGCGGTTGACTCATACTGGCAAGACATTTTGTAGTATGTGTAACTATGACTACTTTCAACTATTAACAATTATTTGTCCCATTTTCTGTAAAGTACTATGGAAAGTAAAAAAATAAATAGGCAGGGTACTTTAGAGGAATGTTTGGAAACAAAAAAATTATATATTAAAGTTTAAACTCAATAAGTCAATTTTAGATACTGGGACAGGGTAATATTATGTATATAATCCCATTACATAAAGATTATGAAATATAAAGTATGCAAACCTTCGCATTCTTATTTTTCTTCATTACTACTTTCTGCATTTCAAAGATAGCTTTAACATTGCTAAAAGGCTAATCATATATGCACTTTATGTCAAATTTAATACTTATCTTCTCTTACTTTTGCAGCCCAGCCATGTCTCCATAACCAGTCCACACTAGTGGTTTTTCTTGCTTGAGATAAAGACAGGAATTTCTGACCAACACCAGTTTCCAGTCTGTTGTGTTTTTCTTTAATCAACTTATTGTAAATAATAAGTCTAGAATCATAAATGGCTTGTTTAGCTGGGGGGAAAAGAATATACTGAACATTGTTTTCCTTTTCCATTGCCAATTATAGAATAAATAAATAGATGTTGAGACTTGAGTGCTTTCATGAACCAGCTACATTCTTATTGGTGGGTTACATAAGCTAACCAAGCAGCAGCACAACAATACACCAACTATATCCAGTTAACTAATCTTGTAAAGTTTCTGTTCATCAGTATGCAACTGATTGCATCAACATGGCATTTTTGTGTGTGATCAGAATATGACCAGTAAGTTCCATTTACTGTATATAGAGCAATGTTATTTTTAAAATCCCGACGAATAAAGCATTGAAAGACCACATGAATCATATAAAAATTGCAATACATGGAAGGAGATTGGGAAAAAATAATCATGATCATTATAATATTACTAATCATAATCAACCATATGAACGAAAATATTACTAAAGTTACTTGAGTACACCATCATGATATTATAATGTAAAATTGAACATAATCATGGTCACTTATTCACTAAAGTATAAAAAGTCAAATAATTTTAACCATTACCTTCCTTTTAGTCATATATAGATTTGTCATTGTTTCATACTCCCTTCGTCATTATTTCATACTCACTTTTTTTGCCTACTTTGATTTGAGTGTGAAATAAGAAAAGTAAATATTGTGTGGTTGAGATTTGTGCAGAGGAGAGAGAAGTATGGAGAACCACAAATTCATTACTTTAAAAGGAAAGTGACAAAGTTTTTTGGACAAACAAAAAGGGAAAGTTGGCAAAGTCCAATGGGACAGAGGGAGTATTACATTCTCTAGAGTTAAGCTTTAGGTTTGATACTTTAAAATAGAAAAAGTTATGAAAGTTACGAACCCAGTAAAAAATCCTCAAGAGTTCAGACCATGAATCATGCTCACCTCAAATTTAGTTCAACCTTTAGTTGATGGAGTTGTTTGTTAGTTTTATGCAATAGGTGATGCTTCTAAGTTTTTACATTTACATCTTGCTTAAACTATTAGCATCAAGTCGTCATCAACATGTTAAAGCATAACTACTTTTCTACGTTGGGAAAGATTAAAGATACTACGTTTTGTGTTAAGTCAATATAAGTCCCAACAATTGCATAGGGAGGTGCAACTCAATGTATCACAAATAATAAAATTATGAACTTTTTTATTATATGTTCAAGTCTTGTGAGTTTAATATTCGCATGATATGACTTTATGTTGTTTAGTGGTTCATATGGCATTGTTTTACAGTGCCCTTTTGCTAAAATAAAGTATGGGCCTGCGGGGTAGCTTCCATTGCACACTTCAAGAATACCTAAACATCTTTCCTGATAGTAGGTGCAAGTGTTGGCCACATAAAGCTAATTCTCAACTAACCTTTTTCCTCATTTGACTTCATGGCACAACTGCAGAAAAATTAAATACATATGATATACAGATACCTGTCCAGCCATGCAGGATTCATGAAACTGTAAACACTAACCTGAAAATCTCAATGGCATATGTTGACATGAAAAGTATAGGCAAAGAGTCACTTTCCTTCTTCATGATATTACTTTTGAGCTGCGAAATCAACATCTTAAATGATTGTAGCATCAGCTCTCAATACTGAAACAGGGTTTAAAAGGTAGCATCTTAATCACAAAGGAGCAGAAGCCTGATTTTTGTGTATTAAAGGTTCTAATCGCTACATTATATATTAGGTACACAGTAAGATGCCTATTCTTCTATCCTCACCCGTTGATGTAGAACAATTTCAACAGCCATTAATAAAAACTCTGAATTAAGAAGCTTTTTGCTTTCGCAATACTTAGTCGACAGATTTAAAGGTTAGAAGAAGAATTCAAGTAGATAAAAACACAACTTCATGTTGCATCATTTTCTTCCTGTTAATTTGTTATCCTTAATGCTTACTAATAAACTTAAGGTCTTGTGAAGGGATTAGGGATATAAACAATTGGCTGCCTTATATACAAACAGTTAAAACTTAAAAGTAATTCACTTTAACAAATAGCAATTGAACCATGACTTAACCTCTTTAAGATCCTTTTGAGTTAGTAAAGCCTGATTTAATGCATGATACATTACTAATCAAACCATAAATTATTCAATCTAAATAAAAAGGACAGTTAAGTACGTTGGAAACATAGATTAACTAGTTAAACCATAGATGAAACAGATGGAAACATAGATTCAAGATCCAATGTTAAATCCATCACTCCTTGTGAGGTACTTAAGATACATTGACATCCAGTTATCCTGACCTAAAATAAGGAAATACTTGTATACATTATCCCTTTCCTATCTGTTGGTGAGCAATGTCAAGGAAAAAGTCAGTCAAAATAGTCTCATATGAAGGTACTTTGGCAAAACCAGGGAGGTAATTGATATCAATAACCAGATAGAGATTTCCAACTCGAGCGTCCCTTATCATATCAAAGTTAAAGAGATGCAATTTCAGAGCATGCCTCAACTCATTAGCTACTTCAGTAACGAAACTCAATGGAGGCATCTCTATCTCATCATCAATCGACCTGGAAAAAGTGGCATCATTTTTATCTTGAGCAGTCAAATTTGATATCTGAGAAAACGGGAACAAATTCACGGTTGTAGAATAGTTATCACCGGAGATATCAGGCAAAGATGACCGCTTCAAGCACTGCACATACTTGCCGGCAACGTATACCTTGAAAAGTACACCTCCATGGTTGACGAATTCCTGCAACACAACCGGGGGTTTAAGACCCTTCAGTCCCTCTTCGTTGAACACAAAAAACATCTGGTGAGAATCAGCACTCCCATTTGCGATTAACGGCTTGGCGATCACCGGGAACCTCAACCCCGCGCGATGAAAAGCGCTGTACAACGATTCCGAATCGTCAGGGACGCAAACTTGCTTCGGGATTCCGAGGACCTCACTCTGGCTCGAGACCTTCAAACCGTTGAAGACTTCAAGCATGGAAAGCCGATTACGTAGCCGCTCGATGGCGTCTGGAGAGTCGATTATTGAGGTGCTAGGGTTTTGAAATGAGAAATCGTCTAGCTGTTTCTTCCAATCTTCTCCATACAACTTATGAATGACGCAATCGAAGGGCCCTTGTTCAACTAGCGGCTTCTCGAGATCGATGGAGACAAGATCGATCCCTCTTTGGCGAGCATGATTGACGAGAGAAGGTTTAATAAAGCTCTGAACTTTATTCGGCGCCAATGCATATCCTACACAAAACCTCTGCCCGACGAGTGGTTCCGGCCTCTCTCCGGCAACAAACTCGTCGCACATTGTTGCTGATACTGTCGGATCCACCAAAACGAGCAGAGATTTATACGGAAAACGAAAGAGGAGGAAGCAATGGAATATGTTCTTCTTCTACAAATGGCCAATTGGTACCGTTAGTTTACGTGGCAGGCGCACCTGATGCGGCGGAGAGATTCCAGCATACACAAGTCAACGGTCATATCATTTCTGACCGCCCGAAATATGCTCAACGTGCGGATGTAGACGTATCTTATGTTTTACAGCCCACAAAGCATTAGAATTCTTTGGCCTCCGATAATCCTCACATTAACAATGTGCTTTCTAATAGAGTGTTTGTAACCGCTTCTACTTAAAAAAAAATTTTTTAATGAAATTTGGAAAAGTGATTAATGGTAAAAGCTGATAATTTTTGAAATAAAAGTAATTATACAAAAAAGTGTTGAAATTGGAGTGTTTTGTTAGAACATGCTTGTTCGCTATTTTGACATTGGCTTACGTTTCAAGAGGAAGGCATTAAAAGTTAAATTTTAAAAATGGTTTTTCGGGTTAACCGATTAACGGTTAACCTATATTATGGTTAAACGTTACCCGGTTAACCGATGCTATGGTACGGTTAATTTTATTATAAATATAATAACTGAAATCACGGTTAACCAAAAATTAGTTAACCAAAATGTGGTTAACCAACTGTGCTCACCCCTAATTCCATCGCACAACATGTTTGTTAGCAAACCTTAAAACAATGGCTATTTATTTTCTTTTATGTTCATCCCTAGCCTGATATAAAAGTGCAATATCTTTTCGAAAACATTTTGAACTTTCTTTGATATAATACAATCTCTTTTTTATCAAAGGTAAACACTATATCTATTTATATATAAGAAAAGAAATAGCTCATAAAAAGATAATTATATCCTTAATGAATCTTATGTGTCCATCTCTCCACAATTTACTCTTTTGCTATAAAGAGTAAATTGTGGAGAGATGGATATATTTGTACTCATGATCTAATTACAAATTAATATATAAATATTTTCCGTGCATACGCTAACTCAAAATGTGGTTAACCAAAAATTAGTTAACCAAAATGTGGTTAACCAACTGTGCTCACCCCTAATTCCATCGCACAACATGTTTGTTAGCAAACCTTAAAACAATGGCTATTTATTTTCTTTTATGTTCATCCCTAGCCTGATATAAAAGTGCAATATCTTTTCGAAAACATTTTGAACTTTCTTTGATATAATACAATCTCTTTTTTATCAAAGGTAAACACTATATCTATTTATATATAAGAAAAGAAATAACTCATAAAAAGACAATTATATCCTTAATGAATCTTATGTGTCCATCTCTCCACAATTTACTCTTTTGCTATAAAGAGTAAATTGTGGAGAGATGGATATATTTGTACTCATGATCTAATTACAAATTAATATATAAATATTTCTCGTGCATACGCACGAGAAAGAGCAGATGATGCATATATAAGAATTCTATGTGTCCTTAATGAATCTTATGTGTCCATCTTTCCACAATTTGCTCATTTCCTATAAGAATGTCACATGGCTTTCTACACTAACTCACCAAAACTAACTCACATGGGTTTCTATTTGAATTCCTATTTGAACAAAAAACGTGGGATCATCAATTATTTAATGGGGCTCATTGTATAAAAAATTCTATTTTCTTTAAAGTGTGATAACTTTTTCAGGTTTTCTCTGATTTTTATAAAACATATACCAAAATTCATAATTTTTTACGATCTTTCATATGACACCAATAATGCATATATAAAATTTGTAAAGAATAATTATATTTAGATTTTGATGATGCTAGGCTTATTAGGATATTAGAGTATCCCCATTAGAAAATATGTATTAAATTTTTTCCAAGTGTTATAACTTTTTTAGCATTTATCTATTTTTTTATAAAAACTATATCAAAATCCATAATTTTTTACGATCTTTCATATGACACCAATATTGGATATATAAAATTTAAGAAAAAATGAAGGATTATTAAACAATCTTCCTATTTTCCAACCTCAATACAGAATGTTCCGTATTAAATAAAGAAAATAATTCATGATATAAAAAGTATATCAAAATTCATTATTTTTAACAATCTTTCATATGACATCAATATTCAATATATAAAATTTAAAAAATATATGAAGGTTTATTAATGTTTTCATTGTTTCTCTAATTTTTTTTAAAAAATCAAATTTCATAAATGTTAGTATTGTCATTGTAAATTATCTCTCTCATATGTAGTGCTTTTGGGGTATTAGAAGATGAGTTTGCTAACAATTAAGCATGGAATCTTTCTCTCTCATAAGTAGTCTTCTAAGTATAAGATAAGTCGGTAAATAATTGAGCGAAAGAACTTTCTCTCTTATATGTAGTGCTTTCAGGTAAGATAATTCGACTAACAATTAAACGGTAAAATTTTCTTTCTCACATGTAGCGCTTTTAGGTATCAGAAGATAAGATTGCTAATAATTAAGTGGGAGAACTTGATCTCTCATAAACAGTTCATTTAAGTATAAGATAAGTCGGCTAACAATTGAGCGGAAGAACTTTCCCTCTCATATGTAGTGCTTTTAGGTATAAGAAGATAAGTTGATTAACAATTGAGCGGAAAAATTTTTCTCTCATATGTAGTACTTTTAGGTCTTACAAGATAAGCTTGCTAATAGTTGTGCGTGAAAGCTTTCTCTCTCACATGTAGTTCTTTTTAATATAAGATAAGTCGGCTAACAATTGAAAGGAAGAATTTTCTCTCTCGTATGTAGTGTTTTTAGGTATAAGAAGATAATCCGACTAACAATTGAGCGGAAGAATTTTCTCTCTCATATGTAGTGTTTTAGGTATTAGTATCAGAAGACATGTAGTGCTTTTAAATATAAGATAAGTTGACTAACAATTGAGCGAAATATTTTTCTCACTCATATTTAGTGCTTTTAGGTATAATAATAAAAAGAAGATAAGCTTGCAAATAATCCGGACTAATAATATTTTTCTCACTCATATGCAGTGCTTTTAAGAATAATTTTCTCACTTATATGTAGTGCTTTAGGTATAATATAAGCGGACTAACAATTGAGCGGGAGAATTTTCTCTCTCATATATAGTGCTTTTAGGTATAAGAAGATAAACGGACTAATAATTGAGCATGAAAATTTTCTGTCTCATACGTAGTGTTTTAGGTATATAAGAGAATTAAGCGGACTAATAATTGAGCAGGAGATTTTTTTCTCTCGTATGTAGTGTGTTTAGGTATAACAAGATAAATGGACTAATAATTGAGCGGGATAATTTCCTCTCTCATACGTAGTGCTTTTAGATCAAAGAAGATAAGCCGGCTAAAACTTGAGCAGTAGAATTTTCAGTCTCATATGTTATACTTTTAGGTATAAGATAATATAAGAAGGCTAACAATTCAACGGGAGATGTTTCTCTCTCATACGTAGTGCTTTTATATTAGGTATGAGATAATTCGGCTAAAACAATTGAGCGGGAGAATTTTCTCTCTCATACAAATTGATTTTAGGCATAAAGAATATAAATCGGCTAAAACTTGAATGAGAGAATTTTCTCTCTCATACGTAGAAGTGATTTTGATTATAAGATAAGCTCACAAGCCGGCTAAAAATTGAGCGAGTGAATTTTCTCTCTCATACATAGTGCTTTTAGTTATAAGATAAGCCGGCTAAAATAATTGAGCAGGAAAATTTTCTATCTCATACGTAGTGCTTTTAGGTATAATAAAGAAGATTAGGTATGAGAAGTATAGGTATATAATAAGCCGGCTTAAACAATTGAGCGAGAAAATTCTCTCTCTCATATGTAACGCTTTTAGGTATAATAATAAGATAAGATAAACAAAATAATAATTGATCGAGATAATTTCATCTCATATTTTTTCTCTCATGACCTTTTAAACTTATGAGAAGATATTTTTCTATAATTATCACCAATGTTATGACAATCAATAAATATCAACCTCTACCACTACAAAAAGATAAAATATTCCTACCTAGACGTATTTTAGTCATGTAAAATTTATGTGTGGCATTATGAGATATGGATTAATGGCTTTAATACTAGGTACATGATAAGAAAAGAAAATCACAAGTCATTACTACTATACGTTCTCTTAAGGTAGTTTTCCAAAACTCTAACAATTAAGTTCAATATTTCACTCTGTTACCAACATCACTAATTATTATTACGTAGTAAATTTTAATGGATGATGTCGATTTTTTATATTTTAATTTTCTTTTACTTTAAATATTTGTTGTATGGATTTATGCTTTTTTATATTCACTTATCATACTCCATTTTTGAAATAAAGTAAATTGTAAGGAAAAAAAATCTATTTTTATATTTAATGAGATCATGAATAAAAGTATACGTAGATCAACCGTTTTTTCCCGTGCGTATGCACGGGTACTGTGCTAGTTTATACTAAACCAAACTAAACAATACGTGGCATCAATCTATTGGCATGTAATAATGTATAAAAACACTATTTTTCTTCAAAGTGTTATAAAACTTTCATCGTTTATCTAATTTTCATAAAAAGTATATCAAAGTTCATAATTTTTTACGATCTTTCATAAGACACCAATATTGCATATATCAAACACTACAAAAAAACATGGGATTGGCAGGAATTTTGGCAGGAAGATGCCAAATCCGTGCCTAAAACACTTTGGCACAACCTATTTGCCACGAAAAATCAGTAAATCCGTGCCAAATTCCGTGTCAACCCCGTAAATTTTTTGTAGTGAAATTTAACAAAAAAGGAAGGTTTATTAAACAATTTTTTACAATCTTTCATAGGACACCAATATTGCATGTATCAAAGTTCACAATTTTTTACGATCTTTGATATAACACCATTTTTCAACCCCAATACAGATTATTCCGTATTAAATAGATAACTGATTCCTAATATATGACCAAAATAAGGATAATTTTATTGTTATGTTATTGGTGATTATTGTTATGTTTAACTTTAGTATATGCAATTTGTATAATACGAAAGATCATCAAAATTATGAATTTGAATATGTTTTTTGATATCATGTAGTGGTTTGTATAATAAAAATAGAGGAAAAATAATTAAATATCCCAAACTTTGAAACTTTGAAAGGACGTGCTTGGTATAAGATAAGTCGGCTCACAATTGAACGAGATAACTTCCTCCCTCATATGTAGTGCTTTTAGGTATATGAAAATAAGAAGATAAAATTCCTAACAATTGAGCGAGATAACTTT